GCATTACGTTTCAAGATTCATGTAAGATGAATTGATTGATTACGTATCAAGAAGTTTATTTGGATTGTATATGTTTTATTTTTATTTAATCTATTTAACGAGTATGTATTAGTTTTAATTTTCAAGGAAAATTTTGACTTCACATGCCACATAATGCAACTATTTGTATTAATAATCTTCTTGTATATATATAGAGAGAAAGAGAGAGAAATTATCTCAAAAAATGTTTTTTAGCCTAAATGAACATAATGAGAAACAACATTATGTTTTATGTGTTGTACATTAGTGTCATAAAATCAATTAACAAGTTAATCATTGTTGATAGATTTTTATACCGACACGACACAACATACATTCTTTAATTTTTGGTTTTGTAACCATGAGATATATAAAAATAAGATTTTTCGTATTTAACATAGATCACAAGCTCATGAAAATAAATATTACAATTACATCAAGTAGTTTAGTTTTTCAAAAATTTGTTCAAAAATAAATCAAGACTAATCTTTTTATGATGCTCAATGCATCAATATGGATATTAGAAAGATTAATGGACATATATGTAACATAAATAGTTTCAATGTTCAACTAATATATCAATTATATAATTTAATTGTTTGAATTGATCATAATGATCTCACAATATTTTAAACTTCAATTAATCATACTCATTGTGGTTGTTGAAAAATAATTATATTAATTTGAATGATGATCCATCAATGTAAATTTTATTTATTTGAAATTATTTTTAAATTTATTTTTATGTTTACAAACTTCTTAAAAGTAAGTTGAGGACACTACAGGAAAATGCCCAATTAGCCGACGCTAATGTCAATAAACTCCCTTGATGGTAACAATGATCTATACACATTAGTCTTTGTCATTGTAGAAATGAAATAAACAAGTTACATGACAATGCTGTTCGAAATTTTTGGGTGAAACACTACGCTTGGATTTATATCCATTAGCCTTTATATTGGACATGGAAAAAGTTCATAGGGAAGCAATAAGACTTTTGTTTTATGAAAATCTTGGAAGTATATTTGTCATCTATTGAATAACATGCATAAATATTTTCATTGCCAAGATCGTAAGGTTTAAAACTTATGTGGTCAATTGTGAATACATACGAAGGACTTGAGTTTGACCAAATGACATGATTAGTTGTATGCTAATGAAACAATAGAGTACAAGAAAGATGATCTCTATGCGTTAGCAATGAGATTTAGTGCCCCAAGTCGAAGAATATATGAGAAATTACAATTAAAAAATACCCGTTTATAACAAGACACTCACTATGTTTACGATTGTGGTAGATAGTTGTCATGAGAGTCATGAAGTTAATATAGACATAAGAGAACATATTTGTAGATTATGATAGATGATTAGACTTCCTTCTATTCATGTTGTAACATTCATTATAATGAAAGAAAGCTATATGTAGAACATATATCACATCATGAGGTATTTCATTGCATTAATTTAGGTTTATTTAATCTATACTGAGTATTGAATTAAAATCAGCATTGTTGTTACTGACATATATATAAAATGACATAGGAAGGTGCAATTGAACTTTATATAATGAAAATCAATAGCATGTAGTTGATGTAGGGTGCACATTGGTATGCCCAACACTTCAGTTTAGAATTACTAGTTGTTGCCATGACATAATCAAATTGTTGAGAGAAACCGAGTTATATCAGTTATTAAAACTATTATCATATTAATATTACACATGATTAATCTTTACTAGAATTATATAATGTTTATTATCATCATAAATTCATTTTATTTTATATTTTTTATTTCATCATAATTATTATTACATGAAACCCGAGCAAGCTTCTTTCATAAACACAGAGCAGAACTTATAGCAATTTCAAAACAAGCATTCCCTTAAAGCCATTCTGGCAGGACAAAAGATGTTAGTGTTACAAGCTTCTCATTGGACAACATGAAACTGAAGACCTCAATACATATAATCTCTTAAATGCAAAAACAAAGCTCTTTAGGTAAATCTATAAATCTCATTCAAAATCTGGTTTATCAGGGAATGTGCAGCCAGATCTCTGAATAATAACATTTTCAGCATAGCAACCAGCCCTCACGCAGTCATCTATGCTCTTCTGCAGAACCAATTGAGACAAGAATCCTCCAACAAATGCATCACCTGCAACAAAGTCTACTATTTCAGTCCTCTTATACTCATGAAAAAAAAGTGTCAAAATGTTCCCCAGGCTCTTTGCAGTGAGTCATTTTAGTCCCTAAATTTATTAAAATGCCCTGCAACAAAGTCTACTATTTCAGTCCTCTTATACAACTGAAAAAAAAGTGTCAAAATGTTCCCCAGACTCTTTGCAGTGAGTCATTTTAGTCCCTGAATTTATTAAAATGGCAATTTAGCCCTCAAACTCTTCTATTAGGAGCCAAGATAATTCTCTTTGAGGAATATTTCAACTCATTAAAATAATACGGGGACTAATTTTACACTTGAAAAGACTCCGAGACTAAAATAGCCCCATATAAGTAGTCAGTAAACCATTTTGACACTACTAAATCAGGAAACATTACAATTCAGGCAAATAACATTAAATTAGGCTCCTTTCTAAACTTTTCAAATCCTTTTAATTACTAGAAATTACCTGCACCATTCATGTCGACCAGCTTCTCCTTGGGTAATACGATTACGGGTAACAGTCTCACCTGATGCCATCATTTATAAGAAAAAATCATGAGAAATGATCCACAATTCAGACAACTTTTTACAAAATCTATGAATCTTAAACTGTCATGTATGTCATCAATATGAAGTATTAGTGTATGTATATGTATATGTATATGTATATGTATATGTATATATATATATATATACACCTTTCCATCCTCGGCAACAACAACTGGATCGCAGCCCTGGGTGATCACAGCTACCCGCTCGTGTGCTCCAGCTGCCTTCAGCAATGCTGAGATTTTAAGAATAATCTCCTCGATGTCCTCGGTCTGCAGTATAAAGGCGAATTAACGGGCAAGTAAAAATTTTATAAATAAATCTGGAAAATTTTACATGCATACCACTTGATTTTGATGTATTTACATATCAAACACTTAAATTTTCAATTTTTACATGTATGCCGCCGCCCTACATATGAATGAAAAGGTGTATTTCACCTTAAAAAGTTAAAATAGTGGTACTTTTTAGGTGACATGAAATTAAGATTTGGGTTGTATAAATGTAAAAATCAAAGTTTGAGTGTTAGACGTGTAAACACATGAGAATTATGTGGTTTGCATGTGAGAAAAGAGAGTATGTAAAATATCATTACCTCCCATCCACGAACTCTGGAAAATGTTCTGGCTTCAGACTCTGTTCCAAAGATATAGTCGACATATCTGACACACACACACACACACACACACACACACACACACACACACACACAAATTACATATTTATTTAAATCACTTGATAAAAATGAGACTCTCTGAAATGAAAAAGTTACACAAATAGAGGACTTTTAGAAGAAAAAGAGTTCGAGGTTGAAAGACAAAAACCATGTGCATAATGTGGAATTGTAGCAGATATGAAATTGAGCTAACAAGGTAAAAACAGGAGACTATATCTAAAATTCATAGTTGTACTGATCGACTAAATTTATCCCTACTATTTGAAGTCACTTCTAAATCCTTCTGTGAATCAGATCTGTGATGCCAAACAGGACAGTCTTTTATTATAACTTGTAAATTGGAGGAATGAAAAAGTTAAGTACTCACGGAAAAACTTTGTCCTGCGCATCACGGAAAAAAACTCAATTAAATGGAGCTGATAGGTTCCATCAAAAACACCTATGAAATTTAAAAAACCGTTAAGAAACAAATGTGTGCATGGCAGGCAGAATCAATGTAGGAGTCACAAAACCTGAACCCCATACCTTGTATTTTACAGAGCAGCGAGAAGTATGGAGTCTAGAGAGACTGTAAGAAAAAATCCAGCAATATAGATGTACTGTGCTTTCTCAACTGTGGAAAAACCGGTTCATTCAAGTACAACTGATAATATCATTTGAGAAGGCAAATACAGGCAAAATATAGGTTTGGACAAAACATGGTAGGCACTTATATATAAAGGAAAGGGGCATTTACATATCTCACACTAAACTTTCATATTTACACAAAGCACTCAAAACTTTAACATCACATAAAAAATTGCACTATTAGTCTATTACCACACCTTTTCATGCATAGATTTAAAGCACAAAAGTGCTATGTATATAAATATGAAAGTTTGGGAGTGAGATATAAGTGAGATATATAAATACATAAGAATAAGAATTGTGTGCTAGTAAATTTCTTAAAAAAAAAAAAAACTCTTATGGCTGACGAGACAGCACATGAAAGAAAGCTCTTCTCCCATTTAACACCATAAGGTAGCCAAAAGTTATTGAATGACAGACCATAAATGGAACAAAATCTACCAGAAAATTTAATGTTACAAGTCCTTAGTAAACTATAGCATTCATTGTTCAACGAATGTTTTGCATATTTCAACCATCAGTATCAGGTGTGGTGTGATAAAACTAGCCTGGTGGGAGACTGTTGAAATTTAAGACTATCTAGTAAATGTTAAGCAATGTACTGAGTGACAAAGCAAAATAACCATATGAACAGTAAAACCAAAGATTTATAGCTTCTATCCAATGGTGATATATGAGTAGACAATCTGTAAGCAAAGATATAATAGTTATTTCAACACTTATAAGAAAAAATAATGACAATAAGA